TTTTTGAGATGGAGTTTCACTCTGTCACCAGGCTAGAATGCAGTGGTAAGATCTTGGTTCACTGCAATCTCTGCCCCCCAGGTTCAAGCAATCCTCCTGCCTCAGCTTTCCAAGTAGCCAGGACTACAGGTATGCATCACCATGCCCACCTGATTTTTTTATATTTTTAGTAGAGATGGGGTTTCACTATATTGGCCAGGATAGTCTCAATCTCCTGACCTCATGATCCACCTGCCTCTGCCTCCCGAAGTGCTGGGATTACAGGTGTGGCCTGGTTTTTTGTTTGTTTGTTTGTTTTTGAGATGATCAGATAGGTAAGGAAATAATGCCCCTTTCCTTACTCCCCAGCAGGTACAGAAAGCAAGACACCACTCAACCTCACATACAATCTAAGAACTGGATCTAATAAAGTGCTAGGTCAAGAACATTAAGGAGAGTGAATCTTATTGTCCTGTAAAATACAAACATTTATGTAAGTATTTATAAATATTACAATACCTATTTATTATTATGACTGAGCTATCCTTGGAAATATTACCATATTTCAAGACATCTGGAAATCATAAATTACTACTTTTCTCTGAAGTAACTTTGCATTTCTAAATTACTAATTCTGAGAGGATGTATTACTTCATAATTTGCACCCTGTTAAGTTTTAAATCAAATTTTTAATACCTAAAAGGTGTAAAAACTTTGGATTGCTTTTCACCTCTGAAGGAGGTCCCTGGTAGCTCCTTCTCCTCCTATGCAGAGATATATGAAAGCCCATGTCAAAAGACCCAGTTACAACACATTGGCTTATAGATCTAATGGGCCTTATTTGTGATTCATGATAGGAGTAACCTCCTCCTACAGAGCAATGGAGAAACAGTGGGTTTTGTAAGGTGGGAACAAGTAAGAGAACTATAGAAAATTGGGCCAGGTGCGGTGGCGCATGCCTGTAATCCCAGCATTTTGGGAGGCCAAGGTGGGAGGATCACAACGTCAAGAGGTAAAAGACCATCCTGATGAACATAGTGAAACCCTGTCTCTACTAAAAATACAAAAATTAGCTGGGTGTTGTAACTTGCCTGTAGTCCCAGCTACTCAGGAGGCTAAGGCAGGAGAATCGCTTGAACCGGAGAGGCAGAGGTTGCAGTAAGCAGAGATTGCACCATTGCAATCCAGCCTGGTGTCAGAGGGAGACTCTGTATGAAAAAAAAAAAAAAAAATTGCCGGGCGCGGTGGCTCAAGCCTGTAATCCCAGCACT